AAATGAATTCTTTTTGTGTACTCACAATACCTAACACAATCAATATAATCAGCTAGCCTCTTCATATGGAGAAATTAAGCTGATTATTATTTTAATGTGGGAAGATTTCAAAGTGTCATTTGAATTGGAACATTCCTGTTCAACTACAAAAGAATTTGTTTGCTAATGTTTTGCATAATTTTAGCTGGTCATTGCCAATGTGAAGATGGCAATGGCCACTCCTCTCATTGCACAAATAGCCAACCCAGCCATTGCACAACCTAGCCAACCCACCTATTGCACAACCTACCCATTGCACAACCTAGCCAACCCACCCATTGCACAACCTAGCCAACCCACCCATTGCACAACCTACCCATTGCACAACCTAGCCAACCCACCCATTGCACAACCTACCCATTGCACAACCTAGCCAACCCACCCATTGCACAACCTAGCCAACCCACCCATTGCACAACCTACCCATTGCACAACCTAGCCAACCCACCCATTGCACAACCTAGCCAACCTACCCATTGCACAACCTAGCCAACCCACCCATTGCACAACCTAGCCAACCCACCCATTGCACAACCTAGCCAACCCACCCATTGCACAACCTAGCCAACCCACCCATTGCACAACCTAGGGTGGCTAAGATGTCAGTGGCTAAGATGTCAGTGGCCAAGGTGTCAGTGGCCAAGGTGTCAGTGGCTAAGGTGTCAGTGGCCAAGGTGTGTTGGCCAAGGTGTCAGTGGCCAAGGTGTCAGTGGCCAAGGTGTCATTGGCTAAGATGTCAGTGGCCAAGGTGTTGGTGGCCAAGGTGTCGGTGGCTAAGATGTCAGTGGCCAAGGTGTGTTGGCCAAGGTGTCGGTGGCTAAGATGTCAGTGGCTAAGATGTCAGTGGCTAAGATGTCAGTGGCCAAGGTTTCAGTGGCTAAGGTGTCAGTGGCCAAGGTGTCAGTGGCTAAGATGTCAGTGGCCAAGGTGTTGGTGGCTAAGATGTCAGTGGCCAAGGTGTCAGTGGCTAAGATGTCAGTGGCCAAGGTGTTGGTGGCTAAGATGTCAGTGGCCAAGGTGTCAGTGGCTAAGATGTCAGTGGCCAAGGTGTCAGTGGCTAAGATGTCAGTGGCCAAGGTGCCAGTGGCTAAGGTGTCAGTGGCTAAGATGTCGGCTAAGATGTGGCCAAGGTGTTGGTTGCCAAGGTGTCAGTGGCCAAGGTGTTGGTGGCCAAGGTGTCAGTGGCCAAGGTGTCAGTGGCCAAGGTGTCGGTGGCCCAGGTGTTAGTGGCCAAGGTGTCGGTGGCCAAGGTTTCAGTGGCCAAGGTGTCAGTGGCCAAGGTGTCGGTGGCCAAGGTGTCAGTGGCCAAGGTGTTGGTGGCCAAGGTGTCAGTGGCCAAGGTGTTGGTGGCCAAGGTATCTGTGGCCAAGGTGTCAGTGGCTAAGATGTCAGTGGCCAAGGTTTCAGTGGCTAAGATGTCAGTGGCCAAGGTGTTGTTGGCCAAGGTGTCGGTGGCTAAGATGTCAGTGGCCAAGGTGTGTTGGCCAAGGTGTCAGTGGCTAAGATGTCAGTGGCTAAGATGTCAGTGGCCAAGGTTTCAGTGGCTAAGGTGTCAGTGGCCAAGGTGTCAGTGGCTAAGATGTCAGTGGCCAAGGTGTTGGTGGCTAAGATGTCAGTGGCCAAGGTGTCAGTGGCTAAGGTGTCAGTGGCTAAGATGTCAGTGGCCAAGGTGTCGGTGGCCAAGGTGTCAGTGGCCAAGGTGTCAGTGGCTAAGATGTCAGTGGCCAAGGTGTCAGTGGCCAAGGTGTTGTTGGCCAAGGTGTCGGTGGCTAAGATGTCAGTGGCCAAGGTGTGTTGGCCAAGGTGTCAGTGGCCAAGGTGTCAGTGGCTAAGATGTCAGTGGCTAAGATGTCAGTGGCCAAGGTGCCAGTGGCTAAGGTGTCAGTGGCTAAGATGTCAGTGGCCAAGGTGTTGGTGGCCAAGGTGTCAGTGGCCAAGGTGTTGGTGGCCAAGGTATCTGTGGCCAAGGTGTCAGTGGCTAAGATGTCAGTGGCCAAGGTTTCAGTGGCTAAGATGTCAGTGGCCAAGGTGTTGTTGGCCAAGGTGTCGGTGGCTAAGATGTCAGTGGCCAAGGTGTGTTGGCCAAGGTATCAGTGGCCAAGGTGTTGTTGGCCAAGGTGTCGGTGGCTAAGATGTCAGTGGCCAAGGTGTGTTGGCCAAGGTGTCAGTGACCAAGGTGTCAGTGGCCAAGGTGTTGGTGGCCAAGGTATCTGTGGCCAATGTTTCAGTGGCTAAGATGTCAGTGGCTAAAATGTCAGTGGCCAAGATGTCAGTGGCTAAGATGTCGGCTAAGATGTGGCCAAGGTGTCAGTGGCCAAGGTGTCAGTGGCCAAGGTGTTGGTGGCCAAGGAGTCAGTGGCCAAGGTGTCAGTGGCCAAGGTGTCGGTGGCCAAAGTGTCAGTGGCCAAGGTGTCAGTGGCTAAGATGTCAGTGGCCAAGGTGTCAGTGGCCAAGGTGTCAGTGGCCAAGGTGTCAGTGGCCAAGGTGTCGGTGGCCAAAGTGTCAGTGGCCAAGGTGTCAGTGGCCAAGGTGTCAGTGGCCAAGGTGTCAGTGGCTAAGATGTTAGTGGCTAAGATGTCAGTGGCTAAGATGTCAGTGTCCAAGGTTTCAGTGGCCAAGGTGTCAGTGGCTAAGATGTCGGCTAAGATGTGGCCAAGGTGTTGTTGGCTAAGATGTCAGTGGCTAAGATGTCAGTGGCCAAGGTGTCAGTGGCTAAGATGTCAGTGGCCAAGGTGTCAGTGGCCAAGGTGTCAGTGGCTAAGATGTCAGTGGCCAAGATGTCAGTGGCCAAGGTGTCAGTGGCCAAGGTGTTGGTGGCCAAGGTTTCAGTGGCTAAGGTTTCAGTGGCCAAGGTGTCAGTGGCTAAGGTGTCAGTGGCTAAGATGTCAGTGGCCAAGGTGTCAGTGGCCAAGGTGTCAGTGGCCAAGGTGTCAGTGGCCAAGGTGTTGTTGGCCAAGGTGTCAGTGGCTAAGATGTCAGTGGCCAAGATGTCAGTGGCCAAGGTGTTGGTGGCCAAGGTGTTGGTGGCCAAGGTGTTGGTGGCCAAGGTGTCAGTGGCCAAGGTTTCAGTGGCTAAGATGCCAGTGGCCAAGATGTCAGTTAGCAAGGTGTCGGTGGCCAAGGTGTTGGTGGCCAAGGTGTCAGTGGCCAAGGTGTCAGTGGCTAAGATGTCAGTGGCCAAGGTGAGAGTTACCAAGGTGTCGGTGGCCAAGGTGTCAGTCGCCAAGATGTCGGTGGCCAAGGTGTCAATGACCCCAGCACCGTGTGGCAGGTGCAGTTCAAATATCACAAGGGATCAGTTAGAGCTATCTTTTATTCCCAGATCCCAACTCTGGGTGTACATTGGTAGAGACGCCCTTGGGTGTACATTGGTAGAGACGCCCTTGGGTGTACATTGGTAGAGACGCCCTTGGGTGTACATTGGTAGAGACGCCCTTGGGTGTACATTGGTAGAGACGCCCTTGGGTGTACATTGGCAGAGACGCCCTTGGGTGTACATTGGTAGAGACGCCCTTGGGTGTACATTGGTAGAGACGCCCTTGGCCAGGTGTCAGGGGTGCCTTGAGCTTGAGAGAACCAATGCTACAATACCACTCTTGAGAGAACCAATGCTACAATACCACTCTTGAGAGAACCAATGCTACAATACCACTCTTGAGAGAGCCAATGCTACAATACCACTCTTGAGAGAGCCAATGCTACAATACCACACTTGAGAGAGCCAATGCTACAATACCACTCTTGAGAGAGCCAATGCTACAATACCACGCTTGAGAGAGCCAATGCTACGATACCACTCTTGAGAGAGCCAATGCTACAATACTACGCTTGAGAGAGCCAATGCTACAATACTACGCTTGAGAGAGCCAATGCTACAATACTACGCTTGAGAGAGCCAATGCTACAATACCACTCTTGAGAGAGCCAATGCTACAATACCACTCTTGAGAGAGTCAATGCTACTTCTTTCTTCTTCTTCTTCGTTCTGAATTATTAGTGTTGAAGGGGATCGAGATTTATCTGCCAGTGGGTTTGAACTCGAGACTTTGTTCGAATTTGCTTTTCTTTTTGGATTTGCTTCCATAGCCTTTGTCCAACCAAGAACAAACTACAAGGCAGCAGTTGTTTAGTTTCGGAGTTGTCTCTCTTAGAAGAGTGGCTGTCCCCAGCTAACGAGCCTCATCTGCCCGAGGGTTCGAACTTGAGACTTTTCGGTTTAGCAACCATGAGCTTTACCGACTTGACCACTTCGAACCCTACCAATGCTACAATATCACGCTTGAGAGAGCCAATGCTACAATACCAGGGGGCTCTGTTCCTTGTTCAGACATTGATAGAGAATGGTGTAGTTGTAGCATGAAAGACTATTAAGTCTGAAGTAATAAAAACTTATACACATACATGTACGTATGCGGCATATATTTAAATTAAAGGCCTATGTAGGCCTTTAAAATTATACTAAACTTTTTTCAAATAACTGTGAAAACTAATAAATAATGACTAATACCTAATATTTGATTGGTCACATAATTTGATGTGAATGCAGCAAATACGTCCTGCTAAAACAATACATTGATGCGCTTCTAACACCAGGAATGTTTGTTTTAATCAAATATCCAGTTCAAGAATTAAAAGTAGGAATTCCTGATGTAGTTACGTCCCTTTAATAATTATTGAGATGACTCATTTTCCCGTTAGATTGAATTCAAATAGCCCAGTTTGTCAGGAAGAATTTCTTTGAAACTTGCCAGTAAAAATACCCAATCTAATTCAGCTGTCAGTAACAACAATTTTTCTTATATAGATATCTGGATACATAGATAGATAGATATTTAGACAGACAGATATAGATATATAGATCATTATTTGTATGTTTTCTATACTTCAAGAAATAGCTTTATGTCAAAATCTAGTCAACATTAGATCAATATTTAATTTGATCAACTTTTGATTCCCTTTAGGTGCTGTAATGGCATTAGGCAAAAATCAACATGCTCTAATGGCCTCCTGGCTTTAGTGGCCTAGTTGCAACCCACTACTCTAGTGCCTCAGTCATTAGTGGCCCACTGCACTAGTGCCTCAGTCATTAGTGGCCCACTGCACTAGTGCCCCAGTCATTAGTGGCCCACTGCACTAGTGCCCCAGTCATTAGTGGCCCACTGCACTAGTGCCCCAGTCATTAGTGGCCCACTGCACTAGTGCCCCAGTCATTAGTGGCCCACTGCACTAGTGCCTCAGTCATTAGTGGCCCACTGCACTAGTGCCTCAGTCATTAGTGGCCCACTGCACTAGTGCCTCAGTCATTAGTGGCCCACTGCACTAGTGGCATCTAAAGAGTGTTAGGTGCCTGTTATGGCACAGAATGCCAACATGACATCTGCCAACATGACATCTGCCAACATGACATCTGCCAACATGACATCTGCCAGCCCAAGGCTCATGTTAGGAGGAACAGTACGTGCTAGTGGCCATAGTGACTCTTCTGATTTTGAGGAGAATCTGCCAGATAAATTGTCTGCCTTCACTATCAGAAAACAGACATCTTACAGGTAAAACACTCTTTACTAACTTCTACTTTCATCCATTCTCTGTATCCATGCTCTCTCTCTCTGTGCTGTATCCAGGCTCTCTCTCTGTGCTGTATCCATGCTCTCTCTCTGTGCTGTATCCGTGCTCTCTCTCTCTGTGCTGTATCCAGGCTCTCTCTGTGTGCTGTATCCATACTCTCTCTCTCTGTGCTGTATCCATGCTCTCTCTCTCTGTGCTGTATCCATGCTCTCTCTCTGTGCTGTATCCAAATTCTCTCTCTGTGCTGTATCCATGCTCTCTCTCTCTGTGCTGTATCCATGCCCTCTCTCTGTGCTGTATCCAGGCTCTCTCTCTTTCTGTGCTGTATCCATACTCTCTCTCTGTGCTGTATCCATGCTCTCTCTGTGCTGTATCTAGGCTCTCTCTCTGTGCTGTATCCATGCTCTCTCTCTCTGTGCTGTATCCATGCTCTCTCTCTCTCTGTGCTGTATCCAGGCTCTCTCTCTGTGCTGTATCCATGCTCTCTCTCTGTGCTGTATCCATGCTCTCTCTCTGTGCTGTATCCAGGCTCTCTCTCTGTGCTGTATCCATGCTCTCTCTCTGTGCTGTATCCATGCTCTCTCTCTGTGTGCTGTATCCATGCTCTCTCTCTGTGCTGTATCCAGGCTCTCTCTCTGTGCTGTATCCATGCTCTCTCTCTCTGTGTGCTGTATCCATGCTCTCTGTCTGTGTGCTGTATCCATGCTCTCTCTCTGTGCTGTATCCATGCTCTCTCTCTCTCTGTGCTGTATCCATGCTCTCTCTCTGTGCTGTATCCAAATTCTCTCTCTGTGCTGTATCCATGCTCTCTCTCTCTGTGCTGTATCCATGCCCTCTCTCTGTGCTCTATCCAGGCTCTCTCTCTCTGTGCTGTATCCATACTCTCTCTCTCTGTGCTGTATCCATGCTCTCTCTCTCTCTGTGCTGAATCCAGGTTCTCTCTCTGTGCTGTATCTCTCTCGGCTCTCTTTCTCTCACTGTTGTGTCTATTCTTTTCTCTTTGAAATTTTGTCTTGATGTGTGTATCTCTAGACGTGCTATAGCCAAAAGCAGTTTGAGTCAGACACTCAACTATCTGCACCCCAGTCATGCTCAAGTTGGAGGCTACAAGAAACGGGAACTTCGCTCTACAGTTGACTGGACGGTAAACTTTGTACTTTTAAAAAAATTAGAATTGCAACTTTGTACTTTTTCAGCACAATGTAAACTTTTTACTTTTTCAGCCCAGTGTAAACTTTGTACTTTCTCAGCCCAGTGTAAACTTTGTACTTTCTCAGCCCAGTGTAAACTTTGTACTTTCTCAGCCCAGTGTAAACTTTGTACTTTCTCAGCCCAGTGTAAACTTTGTACTTTCTCAGCCCAGTGTAAACTTTGTACTTTCTCAGCCCAGTGTAAACTTTGTACTATCTCAGCCCAGTGTAAACTTTGTACTTTCTCAGCCCAGTGTAAACTTTGTACTTTCTCAGCCCATTGTAAACTTTGTACTTTCTCAGCCCAATGTAAACTTTGTACTTTCTCAGCCCATTGTAAACTTTGTACTTTCTCAGCCCAATGTAAACTTTGTACTTTCTCAGCCCAATGTAAACTTTGTACTTTCTCAGCCCAATGTAAACTTTGTACTTTCTCAGCCCAATGTAAACTTTGTACTTTCTCAGCCCAGTGTAAACTTTGTACTTTCTCAGCCCAGTGTAAACTTTGTACTTTCTCAGCCCAATGTAAACTTTGTTTGTATCCAGGACCAAGCCCAGAACAGTGAACACTTGTGGGTAGAGACCAATGCTTCTGGGGACTATTGTTATGCTATGGATCCTGATTGTTTGGTAAGATCTAGCTTTGGAATTGATTTTAGAACTAACCCTAGCTAGTTGTAGATAGAATCGTTTTTGGATCTATCCCTTACCTTAATTCTGGTTTACTTTTCTAACCTTTGTTTTTAAATCTTTTAGTGTGTAATATTGAAAATATTTCTCCAGAAAATGGGCCCACGTAAAAAGTGTGTTGCATGCAAGATAGTAGCACATTCTGCATGTGTAGGAATCTTGGAGCAGGTAAGTGACAGCACATTCTGCATGTGTAGGAATCTTGGAGCAGGTAAGTGACAACACATTCTGTATGTGTAGGAATCTTGGAGCAGGTAAGTGACAGCACATTCTGTATGTGTAGGAATCTTGGAGCAGGTAAGTGACAGCACATTCTGCATGTGTAGGAATCTTGGAGCAGGTAAGTGACAACACATTCTGCATGTGTAGGAATCTTGGAGCAGGTAAGTGACAGCACATTCTGTATGTGTAGGAATCTTGGAGCAGGTAAGTGACAGCACATTCTGCATGTGTAGGAATCTTGGAGCAGGTAAGTGACAACACATTCTGCATGTGTAGGAATCTTGGAGCAGGTAAGTGACAACACATTCTGTATGTGTAGGAATCTTGGAGCAGGTAAGTGACAACACATTCTGTATGTGTAGGAATCTTGGAGCAGGTAAGTGACAACACATTCTGCATGTGTAGGAATCTTGGAGCAGGTAAGTGACAACACATTCTGTATGTGTAGGAATCTTGGAGCAGGTAAGTGACAGCACATTCTGTATGTGTAGGAATCTTGGAGCAGGTAAGTGACAGCACATTCTGTATGTGTAGGAATCTTGGAGCAGGTAAGAGACATATTCCCTGTGTTAATTACAATTTTAATTATTTGACTTGTAGGTACACCACTTGAAACCAGCTGAATCAGATGTAGTCTCTATATTGTCTATATTCCTTTATCATTTGTATCTTTGCAGAAAAACCTGAAGTGCAAACCAACATTCCGAGAGGCTGGACTGAGAAACTATAGAGATGTAAGTCAAAGATTTCTTCCAAGGGTTAGGGTTAGGGTTAGGGTTAGTGAGGCTGGACTGAGAAACTATAGAGATGTAAGTCAAAGATTTCTTCCAAGGGTTAGGGTTAGGGTTAGGGTTAGGGTTAGTGAGGCTGGACTGAGAAACTATAGAGATGTAAGTCAAAGATTTCTTCCAAGGGTTAGGGTTAGGGTTAGTGAGGCTGGACTGAGAAACTATAGAGATGTAAGTCAAAGATTTCTTCCAAGCCTTCAGAGATCTCATCAAGTTTTTTAAATGCCTAGATGCAATTGGAAAAGAGGGGAGAGGGTGTAACATGGGTACTTACTACTACTTTGTTTGCATATCAAGAAAAGAGGGGTATGGGGCTTGTGTCTGCTTTAAAAGAGCTTCTAGTTAAGTTAGGTTTAGGTTTGAGCTTCTAGTTAAGTAAGGTTTAGCTTTGAGCTTCTAGTTTGGTTAGGGTGAGATTTGAGTTTTTTAAAAAAAAAAGGTTAATCCTAACCAAAGCTTTAAAGAAAAAATAACTTAACCTAACCAATAAGAAAAAAAATCACTAACTGCATCAGATAACAGCGCTATTGTTTGGGCACAAACTTTCAGACTTCAATTCAAAACTCTTGACTTTGGGTCAAATGTTATCCCCCCCCCCCCCCCCCCCCCCCAGCTGACCAATTTTACATTAGCCCTGCACATTTATGTCTAAAATGTTAATTAGTGTTTGATTTCCTCCATTGATCATATTTGTTGTGTTAGGGTTAGGGTTACATTGATCATATTTGTTGTGGTTAGGGTTACATTGATCATATTTGTTGTGGTTAGGGTTACATTGATCATATTTGTTAGGGTTAGGGTTAGGGTTACATTGATCATATTTGTTGTGGTTAGGGTTACATTGATCATATTTGTTAGGGTTAGGGTTAGGGTTACATTGATCATATTTGTTGTGGTTAGGGTTAGGGTTACATTGATCATATTTGTTGTGGTTAGGATTAGGGTTAGTGTTAGGGTTAGGGTTACATTGATCATATTTGTTGTGGTTAGGGTTAGGGTTACATTGATCATATTTGTTGTGTTAGGGTTAGGGTTACATTGATCATATTTGTTGTGTTAGGGTTAGGGTTACATTGATCATATTTGTTGTGTTAGGGTTAGGGTTACATTGATCATATTTGTTGTGTTAGGGTTAGGGTTACATTGATCATATTTGTTAGGGTTAGGGTTACATTGATCATATTTGTTGTGGTTAGGGTTAGGGTTAGGGTTACATTGATCATATTTGTTGTGGTTAGGGTTATGGTTACATTGATCATATTTGTTTTGGTTAGGGTTAGGGTTAGTGTTAGGGTTAGGGTTACATTGATCATATTTGTTGTAGTTAGGGTTACATTGATCATATTTGTTGTGTTAGGGTTAGGGTTACATTGATCATATTTGTTAGGGTTACATTGATCATATTGGTTGTGGTTAGGGTTACATTGATCATATTTGTTGTGGTTAGGGTTAGGGTTACATTGATCATATTTGTTGTGTTAGGGTTAGGGTTACATTGATCATATTTGTTGTGGTTAGGGTTAAGGTTACATTGATCATATTTGTTGTAGTTAGGGTTACATTGATCATATTTGTTGTGTTAGGGTTAGGGTTACATTGATCATATTTGTTAGGGTTAGGGTTACATTGATCATATTTGTTGTGGTTAGGGTTACATTGATCATAATAGTTGTTGTTAGGGTTAGGGTTACATTGATCATATTTGTTGTGTTAGGGTTAGGGTTACATTGATCATATTTGTTGTGGTTAGGGTTAGGGTTACATTGATCATATTTGTTAGGGTTAGGGTTAGGGTTACATTGATCATATTTGTTGTGTTAGGGTTAGGGTTACATTGATCATATTTGTTAGGGTTAGGGTTACATTGATCATATTTGTTGTGGTTAGGGTTACATTGATCATATTTGTTGTGGTTAGGGTTAGGGTTACATTGATCATATTTGTTGTGGTTAGGGTTAGGGTTACATTGATCATATTTGTTAGGGTTAGGGTTAGGGTTACATTGATCATATTTGTTAGGGTTAGGGTTAGGGTTACATTGATCATATTTGTTGTGGTTAGGGTTAGGGTTACATTGATCATATTTGTTGTGTTAGGGTTAGGGTTACATTGATCATATTTGTTTTGGTTAGGGTTAGGGTTAGGGTTACATTGATCATATTTGTAGGGTTAGGGTTACATTGATCATATTTGTTAGGGTTAGGGTTACATTGATCATATTTGTTAGGGTTAGGGTTACATTGATCATATTTGTTAGGGTTAGGGTTACATTGATCATATTTGTTGTGGTTAGGGTTAGGGTTACATTGATCATATTTGTTGTGGTTAGGGTTAGGGTTACATTGATCATATTTGTTGTGGTTAGGGTTAGGGTTAGGGTTACATTGATCATATTTGTTGTGGTTAGGGTTACATTGATCATATTTGTACTGTTCCAGCAAACTTTCATGAGACATCACTGGGTCCATAGAAGAAGACAGGACGGGAAATGTAAACAATGTGGAAAGGTTAGTCATCAGCATGTGCCAACCACCATACACACCAACCATGTGCCAACCATCATACACACCAATCATGTGCCAACCACCATACACACCAACCATGTGCCAACCACCATACACACCAACCATACACACCAACCATACACACCAACCATACACACCAACCATGTGCCAACCATCATACACACCAACCATGTGCCAACCGTCATACACACCAACCATGTGCCAACCACCATACACATCAACCATACACACCAATCATACACACCAACCATGTGCCAACCATCATACACACCATCCATGTGCCAACCACCATTCACACCAACCATGTGCCAACCACCATACACACCAACCATACACACCAACCATACACACCAAACATAAACACCAACCATACACACCAATCATACACACCAACCATACACACCAACCCTACACACCAACCCTACACACCAACCATACACACCAACCATACACACCAACCACCATACACACCAACCATGTGCCAACCACCATACACACCAACCATACACACCAACCATACACACCAAACATAAACACCAACCATACACACCAATCATACACACCAACCATACACACCAACCCTACACACCAACCATACACACCAACCATACACACCAACCATACACACCAACCATACACACCAACCATACACACCAACCATACACACCAACCATACACACCAACCACCATACACACCAACCACCATACACACAGACCATACACACCAACCATACACACCAACCATACACACCAACCATACACACCAACCATACACACCAACCATGTGCCAACCACCATACACACCAACTATACACACCAACCATACACACCAACCATACACACCAACCATGTGCCAACCACCATACACACCAACCATACACACCAACCACCATACACACCAACCATACACACCAACCACCATACACACCAACAATACACACCAACCATACACACCAACCATACACACCAACCATACACACCAACTATGTGCCAACCACCATACACACCAACCATGTGCCAACCACCATACACACCAACCATACACACCAACCATGTGCCAACCACCATACACACCAACCATACACACCAACCATACACACCAACCATACACACCAACCATACACACCAACCACCATACACACCAACAATACACACCAACCATACACACCAACCATGTGCCAACCACCATACACACCAACCATGTGCCAACCACCATACACACCAACCATACACACCAACCATGTGCCAACCACCATACACACCAACCATACACACCAACCACCATACACACCAACCATACACACCAACCATACACACCAACCATGTGCCAACCACCATACACACCAACCATGTGCCAACCACCATACACACCAACCATACACACCAACCACCATACACACCAACCATACACACCAACCATACACACCAACCATGTGCCAACCACCATACACACCAACCATACACACCAACCACCATACACACCAACCATAAACACCAACCATAAACACCAACCATACATACCAACCATACACACCAACCATACACATCAACCAGACACACCGACCATACACTCCAACCATACACACCAACCATAAACACCAACCATGTGCTAACCACCATACACACCAACCATACACACCAACCATGTGCCAACCACCATACACACCAACCATGTGCCAACCACAATACACACCAACCATACACACCAACCATACACACCAACCATACACACCAACCATGTGCCAATCACCATACACACCAACCATGTGCCAATTACCATACACACCAACCATATGCCAACCACCATACACACAAACCATCACACCAACCATGTGCCAACCACCATACACATCAACCATGTGCCAACCTTATGTGGTCAGTGATGTGGATGTGGTTAGTGGTGTGGATGTGGTTAGTGATGTGGATGTGGTTAGTGTGTTGATGTGGTTAGTGATGTGGATGTGGTTAGTGTGTTGATGTGGTTAGTGATGTGGATGTGGTTAGTGATGTGGATGTGGTTAGTGTGTTGATGTGGTTAGTGTGTTGATGTGGTTAGTGATGTGGATGTGGTTACTGATGTGGATGTGGTTAGTGATGTGGATGTGGTTAGTGATGTGGATGTGGTTAGTGATGTGGATGTGGTTAGTGTGTTGATGTAGTTAGTGATGTGGACATGGTTAGTGATGTGGTTAGTGTGTTGATGTGGTTAGTGATGTGGATGTGGTTAGTGATGGGGATGTTGTTAGTGGTGTGGATGTGGTTAGTGATGTTGATGTGGTTAGTGATGTGGATGTGGTTAGTGTGTTGATGTGGTTAGTGATGTGGACATGGTTAGTGATGTGGTTGTTTTTCGTGATGTGGATGTTGTTAGTGATGTGGTTAGTGATGTTGATGAGGTTAGTGATGTGGATGTGGTTAGTGATGCTGACGTGGTTAGTGATGTGGTTAGTGATGTGGATGTGGTTAGTGATGTTGATTTGGTTAGTGATATGGATGTGGTTAGTGATGTGGTTAGTGATTCAGATGTGGTTAGTGATGTGGATGTTGTTAGTGATGTGGTTAGTGATGTTGATGTGGTTAGTGATGTGGATGTGGTTAGTGATGTGGATGTGGTTAGTGATGTGGACGTGGTTAGTGATGTGGTTAGTGATGTGGATCTAGTTAGTTATGTTTATGTGGTTAATGATGTGGATGTGGTTAGTGATGTGGATGTGGTTAGTGATGTGGATGTGGTTAGTGATGTGGATGTGGTTAGTGATGTTGATGTGGTTAGTGATGTGGATGCGGTTAGTGATGTGGATGTGGTTAGTGATGTGGATGTGGTTACTGATGTGGATGTGGTTAGTGATGTGGATGTGGTTAGTGATGTGGATGTGGTTAGTGATGTGGATGTGGTTAGTGTGTTGATGTGGGTAGTGATGTGGATGTGGTTAGCAATATGGATATGGATAGTGTATTGATAGGGATATGATTAGCATAGCAATATGGATATGGATAGTGTATTGATAGGGATATGATTAGCATAGCAATATGGATATGGATAGTGTATTGATAGGGATATGATTAGCATAGCAATATGGATATGGATAGTGTATTGATAGGGATATGATTAGCATAGCAATATGGATATGGATAGTGTATTGATAGGGATATGATTAGCATAGCAATATGGATATGGATAGTGTATTGATAGGGATATGATTAGCATAGCAATATGGATATGGATAGTGTATTGATAGGGATATGATTAGCATAGCAATATGGATATGGATAGTATATTGATAGGGATATGATTAGCATAGCAATATGGATATGGATAGTGTATTGATAGGGATATGATTAGCATAGCAATATGGATATGGATAGTGTATTGATAGGGATATGATTAGCATAGCAATATGGATATGGATAGTGTATTTATAGGGATATGATTAGCATAGCAATATGGATATGGATAGTGTATTTATAGGGATATGATTAGCATAGCAATATGGATATGGATAGTGTATTGATAGGGATATGATTAGCATAGCAATATGGATATGGATAGTGTATTGATAGGGATATGATTAGCATAGCAATATGGATATGGATAGTGTATTGATAGGGTTATGATTAGCATAGCAATATGGATATGGATAGTGTATTGATAGGGATTTGATTAGCATAGCAATATGGATATGGATAGTGTATTGATAGGGATATGCTTGTACATGTACTTGAGGGGATAAGTTTGACCTGAAGTTTGACCTGAAGTTTGATCTGAAGTTTGACCTGAAGTTTCACCTTTGGAAAAGTCGTCCTACACAATACTATTTTGTTTGTCTGCCCATTTCTCTAGAGAGCATTTTACACAATACAGTTTTTCATTTGAACTAACATCTGTATTAGGCTCTTGAGTAAGTTTGATGTAGGGTGAGGGAAGAGTAATTGGATAAGGAGAGATTGATTAGTGTGGCATGACATCGGAATTCCATTTTTTATTTCCAGTCCTTTCAACAAAGATTTTCATTTCAAAATAAGGTAAGACAATCATTTTTTTTACACAGCTTATCAAAGCAATAGCATATAACTATGGAAAATCTTCCAAACAAAGGAATATTGGTCCAACAAAGCAGAGCTGTGCTGAATAACGAGGAGATTAATAAAGAATATTGGATCGTAGTCAATTGACAACATGCCAACATTGACAACATGCCAACATTGACAACATGCCAACACTGACAACATGCCAACACTGACAACATGCCAACATTGACAACATGCCAACATTGACAACATGCCAACATTGACAACATGCCAACATTGACAACATGCCAACACTGACAACATGCCAACATTGACAACATGCCAACATTGACAACATGCCAACATTGACAACATGCCAACATTGACAACATGCCAACATTGCCAACATTGACAACATGCCAACATTGACAACATGCCAACATTGACAACATGCCAACATTGACAACATGCCAACATTGACAACATGCCAACATTGACAACATGCCAACATTGACAACATTGACAACATGCCAACATTGACAACATGCCAACATTGACAACATGCCAACATTGACAACATGCCAACATTGACAACATGCCAACATTGACAACATGCCAACATTGACAACATGCCAACATTGACAACATGCCAACATTGACAACATGCCAACATTGACAACATGCCAACATTGACAACATGCCAACATTGACAACATGCCAACATTGACAACATGCCAACATTGACAACATGCCAACATTGACAACATGCCAACATTGACAACATGCCAACATTGACAACATGCCAACATTGACAACATGCCAACATTGACAACATGCCAACATTGACAACATGCCAACATTGACAACATGCCAACATTGACAACATGCCAACATGCCAACATTGACAACATGCCAACATTGACAACATTGACAACATGCCAACATTGACAACATGCCAACATTGACAACATGCCAACATTGACAACATGCCAACATTGACAACATGCCAACATTGACAACATGCCAACATTGACAACATGCCAACATTGACAACATGCCAACATTGACAACATGCCAACATTGACAACATGCCAACATTGACAACATGCCAACATTGACAACATGCCAACATTGACAACATTGACAACATTGACAACATGCCAACATTGACAACATGCCAACATTGACAGCATGCCAACATTGACAGCATGCCAACATTGACAACATGCCAACATTGACAACATTGACAACATTGACAACATGCCAACATTGACAACATTGACAACATGCCAACATTGACAACATGCCAACATTGACAACATGCCAACATTGACAACATGCCAACATTGACAACATTGACAATATGCCAACATTGACAACATGCCAACATTGACAACATGCCAACATTGACAACATGCCAACATTGACAACATGCCAACATTGACAACATGCCAACATTGACAACATGCCAACATTGACAACATGCCAACATGGACAATATTAGATTAGTCTTTGTACTTATCCATCCTATGAACTTGATTGCCTGATGTAAAATACACCTTTTTCAGGATATCATTGCAATCAGTTGCTCATGGTGCAAGTCAGCCTACCACAACAAGACGACATGTTTTATGATGCAACAAATAGAGGAACAGTGTACTCTTGGGATACACGCCAGCATCATTGTCCCCCCTTCTTGGATCATCAAATTGCCTAGACGTGTAGGTCTCTTACATCAGTCTTACATCTAACTGTCTTACATGTGTTTTACATCAGTCTTACATCTGTCTTACATCTGTCTTACATCTGTCTTACATGTGTTTTACATCAGTCTTACATCTGTCTTACAGTCTTACATCTAACTGTCTTAAATCAGTCTTACATCTGTCTTACATGTGTCTTACATCTGTCTTACATCTGTCTTACAGTCTTACATCTAACTGTCTTACATCAGTCTTACATCTAAATGTCTTAAATCTATCTTACATCTGTCTTACATCCTTCTTACATCTGTCTTACATCTAACTGTCTTACATGTGTCCAACATCTGACTTACATCTATCTTACATCTGGCTCACATCTGTCTTACATCTGTCTTACATCTGTCTTACATGTGTCTTACATCTGTCTTACATGTGTCTTACATCTAACTGTTTTACATCTGTGTCACATCCAACTGTCTTACATCTGTCTTACACCAGTCTTACATCTGTCTTACATCTATCTTACATCTGTCTTACATCCGTCATACATCTAACTGTCTTATATCAGTCTTACATCTAACTGTCTTACATCTGTCTTACATCTAACTGTCTTACATCTATCTTACATCTGTCTTACATGTGTCTTACATCTAACTGTCTTACATCAGTTTTTTTTATCTTTCTTACATCTATCTTACATCTGTCTTACATCTGTCTTACATCTAACTGTCTTACATCAGTCTTACATCTACATGTCTTATATCTGTCTTAAATCTAACTGTCTTACATCTAAATGTCTTATGTCTGTCTTAAATCTAACTGTCTTAGATCTGTCTTACATCTGTCTTACATCTAACTGTCTAACATCTGTCTTACATCTAACTGTCTTACATCTATCTTACATCTGTTTTACATGTGTCTTACATCTAACTGTCTTACATCAGTTTTTTTTATCTTTCTTACATCTATCTTACATCTGTCTTACATCTGTCTTACATCTAACTGTCTTACATCAGTCTTACATCTACATGTCTTATATCTGTCTTAAATCTAACTGTCTTACATCTAAATGTCTTATATCTGTCTTAAATCTAACTGTCTTACATCTGTCTTACATCTGTCTTAAATCTAACTGTCTTACATCTGTCTTACATCTAACTGTCTTACATCAGTCTCACATCAGTCTTACATCTGTCTTACATCTAACTGTCTTACATCAGTCTTACATCTGTCTTACATCTAACTGTCTTACATCAGTCTTACATCTATCTTACATCTATCTTACATCTGTCTTACATCTATCTTACATATATCTTACATCTGTCTTACATCTGTCTTACATCTAGCTGTCTTATATCTGTCTTAAATCTAACTGTCTTAGATCTGTCTTACATCTGTCTTAAATCTAACTGTCTTACATCTGTCTTACATCTAACTGTCTTACATCAGTCTTACATCTTTCTTACATCTAACTGTCTTACATCAGTCTTACATCTGTCTTACATCTAACTGTCTTACATCAGTCTTACATCTGTCTTACATCTGTCTTACATCTATCTTACATATATCTTACATCTGTCTTATATCTGTCTTACATCTGTCTTACATCTATCTTACATCTGTCTTACATCTGTCTTACATCTAACTGTCTTACATCTAACTGTCTTACATCAGTTTTACATCTGTCTTACATCTGTCTTAAATCTATCTTACATCTGTCTTACATCTATCTTACATCTAACTGTCTTACATCAGTCTTACATCAAACAAACTTTTATTTAGTTTGCAACGTCTGGTTTTTTTGTTGGTTTGTGGAACATCTTTATAACTCAATTTTTGACCCACTTCTAATGCAGCGATTTCATTCAAACGTTTCATATATGTTCCACTTTGATTTAATAACATGTTCAACTAGTTATTAAAAATGAATTTAACGGTTTTGAAACTAAGGGGAGGCAACACAATGAAATGACTTTATAGATTACTATGTTCAATGACAGAAGGGGAGAAAGCTAGCTAGAAGCTATCACCCAATCAGTCTGATGAGATGAGGCTAACGCCAAATGTTTACAATCGTAGAGCCTGTCCATCAAGTGAAGGCTATCAGGGGTAGATAATAAAGTTTTTAAACCATTTGAAACCAAGGGGAGGTAAAAGATTTAGATCTTGCTGTTGTTTGTAAAATATGATCATGGACAGCTGCTTCCATGAGGCAGATAATTATCTTTTAGATATTGTCTGCTACTAATAGTGTTTTAAAGCAAATATCTTTAATTGGGTTGACTTCATAAATTAGGAATTATTAAAAAGTAGAAAATAAAACAAATATAAAAACCCTTTCTAGCAACAAACTTTTAAATTGACTGAAAATAAGAAAATAAAACTAGTTTGCTTTCTGTAAATCAAAGTTTTTCTCACTTATATATGTAAAAGATCTCATGAGTGACCAAAGCTTTTATAAAAGAAAGCAAACTAGTTTTCTTTTCTTATTTACAGTGCATTTAAAAGCTTTTTGCTATAAAGGTTTTTTATATTTGTTTTATGAAAAGTATTGTTGTTGCATTGTTTCTGAAAAGTATGGCTATTGCACTGTTTTTCCCTCAGGGATCTTTTAAATCTTCCTTACGAACAAGCAAAAAAAGGAAGGTATCTGTGAAAAAACGTAGGAGCAAAGAAGATTGTAAGCCTTTTCTTCTGAAACCCATCCCGTCGCCACTGATTAAGCCAGTTTTGGTCTTCATTAACCCAAAGAGTGGGGGCAACCAGGGGGCCAAGCTGTTTCATAAATTTTGTTGGCTGCTCAACCCTCGGCAGGTCTTTGATCTGACGCAGGGAGGACCCAGGCCAGGGTACGCCATTTCCTTAGTCCATGTACATGACATTTCATGACATTCATATGACATTTGACGGACCAAATATATCAGGACACTTGATCTCATAACAAAATATATCAGGACAAAATATATAAAATACATATAAAGTATTGAAAATACTTTTTATTATTTAGGGTACTCTCCATAATAATAAAATAAAAATATTGTTTTAATTTGGTTATATCCTAATTTAACCTATTCCCATGTTAAGAAACAAAGATTGATATGATGAAATATTTTAGGGCTGAAAAAACTCAATTATTTATCGTGTAATCTAGATTGGGTTTTCGCAGATCCACCTAACAAATGGCTTCAGTCTATTTATTGCTTGTATTCTCCAATTATATCATCGATAATAGTGTTGGAACCTAATAGAAACAATAAACAGTTATATCATTAAAGCTATATCTGAAAGCTAATAATGGATTGTCACGCATTTGACATGGCAAGACACAAAAATTAACATTTTTGGACAGCTATTTGTATAAATAATGGAAATTATAACACGCAATTGTTCAAAAGACATGAAATAATTTCCAAAAAGGTGGTTGGGTCATCAGTTTGGTAAAATCATCAGCACGAGCTAATGTTTGGTTCCAATACTTAAAATTGCTGATGCCTTTCTGCAATGTATACTGCATTGTTTGCATGCACACTAGCAATAACTTTGTGTCACCTGACCCACTCAAGTTTGACTGAAATATAACCATTGACTTGTGATGATAGTTGTCCACGGAGAGCTAATGTTATCTCTCATGGGGGAGCCCCCCCCCCCCCCCCCCAGTGGACCCTTCTGTACAAAAGTTTTTACTGACATAATACCAGTGTTACTTATTTAAATCTATTTCTGAATCAGTATATATATATATATATATATATATATATTTATATATATATATTTATATATATATATTTATATATATATATATATATATATATATATATATATATATATATATATATATATATATATATATATATATATATATATATATATGCTGGAAAAAATTGAATCCCCCCCTCCCCCATGAGACGATCCTGGCTACGCCACTGAATGATCTAGTTTCCTAATGTTATCTCCTATCATGCCTGGATCTGGCAACAAAGGTGTGCTCTCAGTAGACGGTCTAGTTTCCTCCACCTAATGTGCTCTCAGTAGATGGTCTAGTTTCCTCCACCTAATGTGCTCTCAGTAGATGGTCTAGTTTCCTCCACCTAATGTGCTCTCAGTAGATGGTCTAGTTTCCTCCACCTAATGTGCTCTCAGTAGATGGTCTAGTTTCCTCCACCTAATGTGCTCTCAGTAGATGGTCTAGTTTCCTCCACCTAATGTGCTCTCAGTAGATGGTCTAGTTTCCTCCACCTAATGTGCTCTCAGTAGATGGTCTAGTTTCCTCCACCTAATGTGCTCTCAGTAGATGGTCTAGTTTCCTCCACCTAATGTGCACTCAGTAGATGGTCTAGTTTCCTCCACCTAATGTGCACTCAGTAGATGGTCTAGTTTCCTCCACCTAATGTGCTCTCAGTAGATGGTCTAGTTTCCTCCACCTAATGTGCTCTCAGTAGACGGTCTAGTTTCCTCCACCTAATGTGCTCTCAGTAGATGGTCTAGTTTCCTCCACCTAATGTGCACTCAGTAGACGGTCTAGTTTCCTCCACCTAATGTGCTCTCAGTAGATGGTCTAGTTTCCTCCACCTAATGTGCTCTCAGTAGACGGTCTAGTTTCCTCCACCTAATGTGCTCTCAGTAGATGGTCTAGTTTCCTCCACCTAATGTGCTCTCAGTAGATGGTCTAGTTTCCTCCACCTAATGTGCTCTCAGTAGATGGTCTAGTTTCCTCCACCTAATGTGCTCTCAGTAGATGGTCTAGTTTCCTCCACCTAATGTGCTCTCAGTAGATGGTCTAGTTTCCTCCACCTAATGTGCTCTCAGTAGATGGTCTAGTTTCCTCCACCTAATGTGCTCTCAGTAGATGGTCTAGTTTCCTCCACCTAATGTGCTCTCAGTAGACGGTCTAGTTTCCTCCACCTAATGTGCTCTCAGTAGATGGTCTAGTTTCCTCCACCTAATGTGCTCTCAGTAGATGGTCTAGTTTCCTCCACCTAATGTGCTCTCAGTAGATGGTCTAGTTTCCTCCACCTAATGTGCTCTCAGTAGATGGTCTAGTTTCCTCCACCTAATGTGCTCTCAGTAGATGGTCTAGTTTCCTCCACCTAATGTGCTCTCAGTAGATGGTCTAGTTTCCTCCACCTAATGTGCTCTCAGTAGATGGTCTAGTTTCCTCCACCTAATGTGCTCTCAGTAGATGGTCTAGTTTCCTCCACCTAATGTGCTCTCAGTAGATGGTCTAGTTTCCTCCACCTAATGTGCTCTCAGTAGATGGTCTAGTTTCCTCCACCTAATGTGTGCTCAGTAGATGGTCTAGTTTCCTCCACCTAATGTGCTCTCAGTAGATGGTCTAGTTTCCTCCACCTAATGTGCTCTCAGTAGATGGTCTAGTTTCCTCCACCTAATGTGCTCTCAGTAGATGGTCTAGTTTCCTCCACCTAATGTGCTCTCAGTAGATGGTCTAGTTTCCTCCACCTAATGTGCACTCAGTAGATGGTCTAGTTTCCTCCACCTAATGTGCTCTCAGTAGATGGTCTAGTTTCCTCCACCTAATGTGCTCTCAGTAGATGGTCTAGTTTCCTCCACCTAATGTGCTCTCAGTAGACGGTCTAGTTTCCTCCACCTAATGTGTGCTCAGTAGATGGTCTAGTTTCCTCCACCTAATGTGCTCTCAGTAGATGGTCTAGTTTCCTCCACCTAATGTGCTCTCAGTAGATGGTCTAGTTTCCTCCACCTAATGTGCTCTCAGTAGATGGTCTAGTTTCCTCCACCTAATGTGCTCTCAGTAGATGGTCTAGTTTCCTCCACCTAATGTGCTCTCAGTAGATGGTCTAGTTTCCTCCACCTAATGTGCTCTCAGTAGATGGTCTAGTTTCCTCCACCTAATGTGCTCTCAGTAGATGGTCTAGTTTCCTCCACCTAATGTGCTCTCAGTAGATGGTCTAGTTTCCTCCACCTAATGTGCTAGGACTGTCTCATGGACTGCGAGCCCACCTAGGTTGCCTATCAAAAATTAATTTAACATTATCTTATTAAATTTGCAATTTTAGAATGTTTAATGTGACAAACCTACGCGACACACCTTTTTCTCACAATTATTTTGAGAGAAAAAAATCATATGAGAAAAAAAATTTAAAATTTTGAACTGCTACAAATATTGTGCCGTGAGAGATTTGGGCTGAGATCATGGAACTTCAATAGGCTTGAAAGATTATGTAATCATACTCAATTTTTAGAACAAATATTTTTAACAATATGACAAGCGTTAAAATTACGGTAACATTTAAAAAAATGAAAACTCTTTGGGAACCATCGATTACACTAGTTTTGTTAATGAATATAACTGTTGAAAAGCCATTTTGAATTATATTATAAATTAAAATATTTAAAAAACCGCCCTCAATCCCTTCTTGAAGTAAACCAGAGTGACCAGGGAAAGTTAAACAATGACAGCCACAACAATTGTTTTCCTTGATAAAATAAAGCGGTCAATAGGGTATAGTCTAGTCGTTTATTTATATCATATAATATATCATCCCCTATCACAGCGGTCAATAGGCTATAGTCTAGTCGTTTATTTATATCATATAATATATCATCCCCTATCACAACAACACCCCGACTCTACTAATCCATTTTAAAAATAAAAGAGTGAATGGAACTTATTTTGTGCTTATTTCACAAAAGTTATGAAATATTTTATTTTGGTTGTAAACAAAGATTTCTGGCAACAACTATTTGGAACCAGCTTTTTCCAGCTTATTGACATGCATGTGACACATACATTTTTGTGTGACATACATAAGCTACTTATCTTTTATTAAAATAACATTTGATTCTAGTCTAGAAAAGCTTAGGTTGTGTGAGTTTGAAGTGCTTAGATTGTGTGGGTTAGAAGTGCTTGAATTGTGTGGGTTAGAAGTGCTTAGGTTGTGTGGGTTAGAAGTGCTTAGGTTGTGTGGGTGAGAAGTGCTTGAATTGTGTGGGTTAGAAGTGCTTAGGTTGTGTGGGTTAGAAGTGCTTAGGTTGTGTGGGTTAGAAGTGCTTAGGTTGTGTGGGTTAGAAGTGCTTAGGTTGTGTGGGTTAGAAGTGCTTGAATTGTGTGGGTTAGAAATGCTTAGATTGTGTGGGTTAGAAGTGCTTAGATTGTGTGGGTTAGAAGTGCTTAGGTTGTGTGGGTTAGAAGTGCTTGAATTGTGTGGGTTAGAAGTGCTTGAATTGTGTGGGTTAGAAGTGCTTAGGTTGTGTGGGTTAGAAGTGCTTAGATTGTGTGGGTTAGAAGTGCTTAGGTTGTGTGGGTTAGAAGTGCTTGAATTGTGTGGGTTAGAAATGCTTAGATTGTGTGGGTTAGAAGTGCTTAGATTGTGTGGGTTAGAAGTGCTTGAATTGTGTGGGTTAGAAGTGCTTAGGTTGTGTGGGTTAGAAGTGCTTGGATTGTGTGGGTTAGAAGTGCTTGGATTGTGTGGGTTAGAAGTGCTTGGATTGTGTGGGTTAGAAGTGCTTGGATTGTGTGGGTTAGAAGTGCTTAGGTTGTGTGGGTTAGAAGTGCTTGGGTTGTGTGGGTTAGAAGTGCTTAGGTTGTGTGGGTTAGAAGTGCTTGAATTGTGTGGGTTAGAAGTGCTTAGATTGTGTGGGTTAGAAGTGCTTGGATTGTGTGGGTTAGAAGTGCTTAGGTTGTGTGGGTTAGAAGTGCTTGAATTGTGTGGGTTAGAAGTGCTTAGGTTGTGTGGGTTAGAAGTGCTTGGATTGTGTGGGTTAGAAGTGCTTGAATTGTGTGGGGGTGCCACTCATTTTTTTAAGTGAATCCTGAAAATGAATCCCAAAATTTTACCAATCCTGAAACTAAAATTTGAAATTTTTGAAACCC